TCACTTGGGCTTCGGGTTGTGCATATTCGGGCTTCGGTTCGTGCATGGTTGTGCTTCAGACTTGTTGTTTGGTTCGTTCATGCTAGGTTTGCAGTTACACAACTGGTCGGGGTCCTCTTACTTACACAACTGGTCGGGCTCCGGTTATGTTACACAACTGGTCGGGCTTCGGTTACACAACTGGTCGGGCTCCGGTTACATAACTGGTCGGGCTCCGGGGGTGTCACTTGGGCTTCGGGTTGTGCATGGTCGGGCTTCGGTTCATGCATGGTTGTGCTTCAGAGGTTTTTGGTTCGTTCATGCTATAGTTACTTGGTCGTGCTCCAGGTTACACAACTGGTTGGGCTCTGGTTACACAACTGGTAGGGCTTGCAGTTACACAACTGGTCGGGCTCCAGTTACGGAACTGGTTACACAACTAGTAGGGCTCGTTACATGCTAGGCTTGCGGTTACACAACTAGTCGGGGTCCGGTTACACAACTGGTCGGGCTTCGGTTACACAACTGGTCGGGCTCCGGTTACATAACTGGTCGGGCTCCGGGGGTGTCACTAGGGCTTCGGGTTGTGCATATTCGGGCTTCGGTTCGTGCATGGTTGTGCTGCAGAGGTTTTGTTTGGTTCGTTCATGCTAGGTTTGCAGTTACACAACTGGTCGGGGTCCGGTTACACAACTGGTCGGGCTCCGGTTACACAACTGGTCGGGCTCTCACAACTGGTCGGGCTTTTAAGGGGCTTCGGGTTGTGCATGGGTTGTCGGGCTTCGGTTCGTGCATGGTTGTGCTTCAGAGGTTGTTTGTTTTTAATGCTAGGCTTTGCGGTTCGTTCATGCTAGGCTTGCGGTTACACAACTGGTCTCCGGTTACACAACTGGTCGGGCTCCGGTTACACAACTGGTCGGGCTCCGGTTACGGTTACACAACTGGTCGGGCTCCGGTTACATAACTGGTCGGGCTCCGGATGTGTCACTTGGGCTTCGGGTTGTGCATAGTCGGGCTTCGGTTCGTGCATGGTTGTGCTCCAGAGGTTTTATTTGGTTCGTTCATGCTAGGCTTGCAGTTACACAACTGGTCGGGCTCTGGTTACACAACTGGTCGGGCTTCGGTTACACAACTGGTCGGGCTCCGGTTACACAACTGGTCGGGCTCCGGTTCACACAGCTTGGTTGTGCATGGTCGGGCTTCGTTCGTGCAAGTTGTGCTCCAGAGGTAGCTTGCTTGGTTCGTTCATGCTAGGCTTGCGGTTACACAACTAGTCGGGGTCCGGTTACACAACTGGTCGGGCTTCGGTTACACAACTGGTCGGGCTCCGGTTACATAACTGGTCGGGCTCCGGGGGTGTCACTAGGGCTTCGGGTTGTGCATATTCGGGCTTCGGTTCGTGCATGGTTGTGCTGCAGAGGTTTTGTTTGGTTCGTTCATGCTAGGTTTGCAGTTACACAACTGGTCGGTTACACAACTGGGGCTCCGGTTACACAACTGGTCGGGCTCCGGTTACATAACTGGTCGGGCTCCGGGGGTGGGCTCACAGTCATTTAAGCTTCGGGTTGTGCATAGTCGGGCTTCGGTTCGTGCATGGTTGTGCTCCAGAGGTTGTTTGGTTCGTTCATGCTAGGTTTTACAGTTACACAACTGGTCGGGCTCCGGTTACACAACTGGTCGGGCTCCGGTTACACAACTGGTCGGGCTCCGGTTACACTTGGGCTTCGGGTTGGGCATGGTCGGGCTTCGGTTCAACATGGTTGTGCTTCAGAGGTTAGGGTTACACAACTGTTTGGGCTCGGGTTAACTGGTCGGCTAGGCTTGCGGTTACACAACTAGTCGGAGTCTGGTTACACAACTGGTCGGGCTTCGGTTACACAACTGGTCGGGCTCCGGTTACACAACTGGTCGGGCTCCGGTTACACAACTGGTCGGGCTCCGGTTACGCAACTGGTCGGGCTCCGGGGGTGTCACTAGGGCTTCGGGTTGTGCATATTCGGGCTTCGGTTCGTGCATGGTTGTGCTGCAGAGGTTTTGTTTGGTTCGTTCATGCTAGGTTTGCAGTTACTCAACTGGTCGGTGTCTGGTTACACAACTGGTCGGTGTCTGGTTACACAACTGGTCGGGGTCTGGTTACACAGCTGGTCGGGCTTCGGTTACACAGCTGGTCGGGTTTCGGAGGTTTTTAATTGTTTGCTTGGTTCGTTCATGCTAGGCTTGCGGTTACACAACTAGTCGGGGTCCGGTTACACAACTGGTCGGGCTTCGGTTACACAACTGGTCGGGCTCCGGTTACATAACTGGTCGGGCTCCGGGGGTGTCACTAGGGCTTCGGGTTGTGCATATTCGGGCTTCGGTTCGTGCATGGTTGTGCTGCAGAGGTTTTGTTTGGTTCGTTCATGCTAGGTTTGCAGTTACACAACTGGTCGGCTTCGGTTACACAACTGGTCGGGCTTCGGTTACACAACTGGTCGGGCTTCGGTTACATAACTGGTCGGGCTCCGGATGTTTCAACTAGTTTGCTTCGGGTTGTTCATGCTCGGGCTTCGGTTACACAACTGGTCGGGGTCCAGTTACACAACTGGTCGGGCTTCGGTTACACAACTGGTCGGGCTCCGGTTACATAACTGGTCGGGCTCCGGGGGTGTCACTTGGGCTTCGGGTTGTGCATATTCGGGCTTCGATTCGTGCATGGTTGTGCTCCAGAGGTTGTTGTTTGGTTCGTTCATGCTAGGCTTGCAGTTACACAACTGGTCGGGCTCCGGTTACACAACTGGTCGGGCTTCGGTTACACAACTGGTCGGGGTTGAGGGTCCGGTTACATAACTGGTCGGGGTCCGGTTACACAACTGGTTCTGGTTCTTCGGGTTACACAACTGGTCGGGGGTTACTTGGTCGGGCTTACACAACTGGTCGGGGTCGAGATAGCATCAGGTTACACAGCTGGTCGGGCTTCGGTTACACAACTGGTTGGGTTCTGTTTACACAACTGGTCGGGGTCCGGTTACACAACTGGTCGGGCTTCGGTTACACAACTGGTCGGGCTCCGGTTACATAACTGGTCGGGCTCCGGTTACACAACTGGTCGGGCTCCGGTTACGCAACTGGTCGGGCTCCGGGGGTGTCACTAGGGCTTCGGGTTGTGCATGGTCGGGCTTCGGTTCATCCATGGTTGTGCTTCAGAGGTTGTTTGTTTTTAATTGTTTGCTTGGTTCGTTCATGCAAGGCTTGCGGTTACACAAGTGGTCGGGGTCCGGTTACACAACTGGTGGGGCTTCGGTTACACAACTAGTCGGGGTCGAGTTAAACAACAGGTCAGGCTCCGGTTACACAACTGGTCGGGTTCCGGTTACACAACTGGTCGGTGTCTGGTTACACAACTGGTCGGTGTCTGGTTACACAACTGGTCGGTGTCTGGTTACACAACTGGTCGGTGTCTGGTTACACAACTGGTCGGTGTCTGGTTACATAACTGGTCGGGCTCTGGTTACAGAACAGGTCGGGGTCGAGATAGGCAATAGATCAGGCTCTGGTTACACAACTGGTTGGGCTTCGGTTACACAACTGGTTGGGTTTTGTTTACACAACTGGTTAGGTTCTGTTTACACAACTGGTCGGGGTCCGGTTACACAACTGGTCAGGCTCCGGTTACATAACTGGTCGGGCTCCGGTTACGCAACTGGTCGGGCTCCGGTTACGCAACTGGTCGGGCTCCGGGGGTGTCACTAGGGCTTCGGGTGGTGCATATTCGGGCTTCGGTTCGTGCATGGTTGTGCTGCAGAGGTTTTGTTTGGTTCGTTCAAGCTAGGCTTGCAGTTACACAACTGGTCGGGGTCCGGTTACACAACTGGTGAGGGTTACACAACTGGTCGTGCTTTGGGGTGCACAAATAACCACCACTCGCTGGTTGAATAGGGGATGCTTAATGAACTATCCACCTCAGGCGGCAAAAAATCAATGAAGTGTGCAACTATGGTCTAGTTGCAAACATTGCAAATAATCCAGTGGATTATTGCAGTTGTATTGTTTGCACCATCTTGAGTCTATTCGTTCTGTAATAATAGACAAAGACTTCATTCATAATGGTGTGCTGCCCGAAATCTTAATGAAGTAGTTGGGCGAGTCAAATTCAAGTTCAATTTCAAAAAAAGTGTGCAACAAGACTAGTAACTGTGCGACTCATATCAGACTCATCACATTTGCGACTCATCAGATGTAAAGTGCCTTGTATAGTGACTGGTGACTGTTGAGAGCCTCTTGTTGAATCACTTGTGACACAAAAGATTATTGATGTGTATTTGTGTGGGTGATTAAATATGTATGTATATGTATATATGTACATGTATGTATGAGAATGTGTACATATATATATAACATTAATAATTTTGTAACTAGCGTCAAAAATTATTTGCTTAGCTAAACGAACTAGAGGGTTCAGTTCCTGAACCGATTATGTGCCTCTGTAATCCTTTACACCACCGCCCAGGGGATGGGTATGGGGTGCATAATAAAGAATGAAATTGAATTGAATAATGTTTATTCAGGTAAAAGTAAATACATTACAAAGTTACAAGCAGAATGTTGGACTTCTAAATAAAGCTAGTACATACTATGCCTAAAGCCACTAAACAATATAATAAAACAATTAACATCGTGTAGTGTATTCTATATATTAAAAAATATTACTTTGAAACCGGTATTAGTCGGTAAAAAAAATTGGGCTACTTTTATTGAAATACAATTTTCTATACAATTCAATTTCAACCTACAATTTTCTCTCATCTTCTTTTTTTTTTCATTTCATGTAATCTGTTATCATTTTTTTGTCTATAAATTTTGCAAGTATTTACCTCCTTAAAATTTTCTTAGATTAAGGACCTGCCCGAAACGCTGCGCGTGCTAGTGGCTTTACAAGACTGTAATTACCATATTTGTATCCTCACATTCCTTATGTACATTCTTGTATATGCATAAATAAATAAATAAATAAATTACAAATTCGCTACTTTTTACCCCCTCAGGTCGCTACTTTCCGCAATGTGGACCTGGCAACCCTGGTGGCCGTCAGTGTGGTCTTAACAGCTGTGGGAGAGGGTATAGGCCTCTGCTCCTGGACACTCTACCATACCTTCACTCTCTCTGGGTAAATATTGGTGTAGATAATGTGATTGTTCATTTTTCTGGTGTTAATGTGCGTCAACAGCTGTTTTTTTCTCTTTAATTCTCTTTTTTTTGTTTTGTTTTTCCCCTCAAGTTGTCATGGTTCATGAGTCAAGTTCCTTCGTTCCACTTGGCCGCCACTCAATGTGTTCTTGAGTGAGTTTGTTATATATTAGCTAGTTTTAACCCATTTTACATTGTAACTAGTTTTACTAGGATGGTCTATCATGTGTGAATAGGCAGTAGGGCACTGGATATTTATGTTCTCATGACAAGGCTTTATAGCCGCCGCCTTGTTTGTAGGCCTATTGTGTAATATTTTCTTGATACGACTAATGTAAAAACAATGAAACATACAACCTTGGTTAGTGTTCTCTTATAATTTGAAACTGAACATTGATATCACTGTAGAAATGGTGTATGACAAGTTGTCCTTCACAGCTTAACACGAACTTCAATAAATTTTAATAACAATGTATAATTACGAATTATAATGAATGAATTAACAGATGTCACATAGTATATAAGACAGTTTGCCAAGAGGCTAAAATCTTCTTAGTCTTGCCCATTCCTTTGTAGCCTAAGCTAACCTAAGCTAATTCATCTCTTAACACTATTCAGTGTATAGTTTAGACAAACCGTAAACTAGTTTTGTTTTACCTTTTTGTTTCCGTTAACAAGCTTAGGTATACACAGCAATGTGCTGCTATGCTATTCTATTTGGCTGATTTGACCGTATCCCCATGTGTAATTTGTCCAGAAAAGTGTGGGTAGCTTCGAGAGGCAAATTAGAACTGGGGGTATCTTATCCGAATAATGTTTTATTTATTACTTTTTTTTGAGAGAAGGGGGCGGGGGAAAGGATATTGCATGGATAAGCCCAAAATTGTAATTATACTTTATTTTGGAAAATGAACCATATTAGAAATATAATGATGATAATTTTATTATGTGGAGCACTTTTTGGGAGTAACTGTCAATATGGGCATGTTGAGTGCTGGTATGTATACATTATATACAAGATTTCTTATATTCTTGTAAAGCCACTAGCATGCAGAGCCATTCCATTCCATTATACCATTCACTGATGAGGGGGGGGGGATATGACCCCTGTAAGTCTTGTTGAGATTCTAATACAGTACGAGGGGCTGTTCTGTTACCTATTCAGGTACTAGCCAGATGTAATGCTTAACCTGACTCACCGATTGACGTGCAACATCTTCCATTGTGCTATTTGGATGTAGATAAGGGAACTTGTATTTGGATACATTAATAATTTGTGATGCAATCAACACAATAACACACCAATACAATTTTTCTGTATTGTGTATCATAACAGCAAATGAAGATGAGTTTCATAAAGAAGTGGACCTTGGAGGCAAAATCCACCACTTGCTAAAAGTTGCACGACACGTAGCAGCAGCTGCCGGAAAATTTAACCAAATAATAAAGCGTACTTTTGACTTTATGGAAAAGAACGTATTGATTCAACTATATAAATCTCGGAGCATAAACCACAGGGCTTGTGATGGTATTAAGTTTTTCTGGTGTGCCCCCATTTGGATTACTGTATCCAAGCATGGAGACTTCATCTTCAGAAGGACATAGCTGCTCTGCAGGAAGAGCAACACTTTGCATTGAGTCATTCCAGAGCTAAGTCATCTCTTGTATCAGTAATGGTTAAAGGCCACAGGGCTAACAACACTGCAAACCAGGCATGACAGGGTGGATCTCATTGACACTTTTAAAATACTGAACAAGTTGGAGGATGTTGATCTTGATAATTTCTTCAAAAGGCCAGATGAAACACAAACAAGGAGTGACGGTTTGAAACTCGACACGCCACAATGTAGGATTGAGAATAGGAGATGCTTTTTCACCCACAGGGTTATAAATCCAGGGCCTACCTGTCGAAGCCATAAATGCCAAAACTGTGTCAAGTTCTAAAAACTACCTGGAAAAGATCAAGGCAAATGGGGGGTTGCTTTCAACAAGCTGCCATCTTCTTATCCTCGTTGAGGCCATTAGGGTTAGTGGCCCTCAAATAAATCGGGTAAATTGTTGGCATGAATGCAAGAATTGTAGTCAAACATTCCTAAGAATCCAACATATCCAATTGATCGGTTGAATAAGAGCTGATAATTCAGACAATTTGATTATATTAACAGTTTTCATTTAGATTGGTGAATATTTTTTATTTACATGTAAACCATTCTAATTTAGTGATTTAGTAGATAAACATCAGATATCTACACTAGTTTGTTAATTTACAAGACTATTTTGTGCCTTCAACATTTGCTCTTCTAAAATAGCATGCAGAAATTACTGTAGCTATATTACAATTGGTTTCTTTCTCAACTCACAATTGGGAATTTCGAGTTCAGATCCCGGGTGAGACAAATAGTTGGGCAAATTCATTATCATCTAATGCCTCTATTCATCTAGCAGTGTAAATAGGCACCCAGGAGTTGGGCAGTGTGTTCTGGGGTTGCATCCTGGGAAGGGTCAGTGGTGTGATCTTGATATGATCATTTCAGCTAATACTGTCAAGGTAGGCCTATACAAATTCTTTAGACCATCAGTGTCATACACCTGTCATTATATTTTATTTTGGGGCAATCATGCACTTTATTGGACCAGACAGCCACCCAGGAGGCCTGGTCAGAGACCGAACTGTGGGGACGTTGATCCTCAGAACCACCACAAGGTAGCCACGAGGTAGGAGGTAGGTTAGGCAAGGTTTAGCAGCTGACTTGATTATAAATTTTAATTTGTGGGGGATTGGGGTGGTAGGAAGGCCAAAATGTGCAAGTCCTAGTCATTATGTTATGCATGTGCCACCCATAATTGTCATAATTATATTTTTTATAAGGAATTATTCACAAATGGTTGCCCTGTTTTGATGGTCAAAATGCAGAATGCATAGGAAATTAATTATTTGTAAATTTCTCTTAATTCAGTTGGACAAATGATGGGTTAAAATAGAAATCCAACATAAGGTGCTTCAGGATTAGTATTACCATATTAGTATTAAGTTTTAGTCTTTAATGTTTTTCCTGCCCGAAACGCTTTGAGTAATAGTGGCTTTAGGCATTGTATGTACTGTACTAGCTCTATCTATAAATCCATCAACTTTGTATCTTGTATGTATGTACCTTACCTGAATAAAAATTTATTTATTATTTATTATATTGTAAGTTAAGTAAGAAACCTGTTCATGTATTACAGTAGTTGTAGGTGCTCTCAAAAAGTTTTTTTTATGGTGGGGAGGAGTTACTAGGGGCAGTGACAATTCTCATGAAATCCCTCGTGCAACAAATGGGCCTAGGCCCATTTGTTTGTTCGAGAGGTCATACTTTATTTCATACTCATTAATTTTGGTTGTTTTTTCCACAGTATCACTGCAGGCATTAGGTGCTGGAACTGTGAATTACAAATCTCTTTGATTTGAAGTGGCAATACATCCTATCGACTGTACCTGCATGCATATTAACTTCTGTTTGGACATCACAGTTGTATTATTCTACTATAAGGGCACAGAGAACACCTATATCACAGTATTCTGGTTCTATAAAAATGACATTGTTAAGGGGATATCTGTACGTTGATCTTGTGGAAGCAAAGAAGTTGCCTGACTGCGACACAGTATTCATCAATATTAATCCTAAAAACACTTCAGATCCCTTTGCCCAGCTAAAAATAGGACATTGCGTTCTTTGTAAGACAGCCGTTAAAAACAATGACCTTTCTCCCAAGTGGCATGAATCACATAGAATTCCTGTATGCCATTATGCTGATGAGCTACAAATTCAGGTTTTGGATAAGGATTATTTTGATAGTGGAATACTTGGGGAGGTCATCATCAAGCCTGAAGACCTACTAAATGGCAAGACCTTAAAAGGATGGTATCCACTGTCTGGTAGTGATGGTCATATTAAACTTAAGATGAATTATGTACCTAAAGAAATGATCAAGGCAACATTTGAGGTTTCCGATTGTTACTTCAAATTACGAGAAGGTTGCAAAGTTACTCTGTATCAGGATGCACACTGTCCACCTCTTCCCATTTATGAGGGCATCCCAACAGCTGATGAAGTTTTTAGAGCTCCCTGTGCTTGGGGTGATTTGTTCAAAGCGGTGAATGGGGCTCAAAGATTTATTTATGTTACTGGTTGGAGTGTGTATACGGAAACTGTCCTAGTAAGAGATGACTGTGATTGTGAAGAAGGTAAGGGGGAATCCTTTGGTGAACTACTGAAAAGAAAAGCAGCTAAAGGTGTACTTGTATTGGTGATGATCTGGAATGAGAAAATGAGTACAGAGTTGACAGCTGGCTTTATGGGTACCCATGATGAAGAGACACGGTTGTTCTTTGAGAATTCTGATGTTGAAGTAGCATTAGTCCCCAGAGTACGTTACTTCAAGGGAATGGAATCTTTCCTTAAAAACCAATTTTCTGAAACATGTTATACACATCACCAAAAAGCCGTTATCCTAGATTGCCCTCCTGCAGATGATAAAGATCAGCCAAGAATTCAAACGTTTATTGGTGGATTAGATATTACTAATGGCAGATATGATACACCAAAACATAAACTTGTCGGAACAATTCGGAGTCATCAAGACTTTGCAACAGTCACAAGTAAAGTTGGTCATCGTCAACCTTGGCATGATATTCATTGTCGTTTAGAGGGGCCTGTAGCTATGGATGTTCTTGCGAACTTTACTGAACGATGGAGAAAACAGGTCCATGGCAGAGAGTCTCGCCTCCTTCCAATTTCAGAAGAAATGTTTGCATTAGAAGCTCCAGTAACTGGTAAAGATTGTAAAATGTGGAGTACGCAAATTTTCAGATCAATTTCTTCAGACTCTGCTATTTTCAGCACTGACAGATATTCAGCTATTCCAGAGAGAAGTGGTAAATATGTTGATGACAGTATACATCGAGCATATATTCATCATATTCGAAAAGCAGACAGTTTTCTTTATATTGAAAATCAATATTTTCTTGGATCGGCTTATAACTGGGAAAAAGAACAAGATACTCCGGCTTGCCACTTGATCCCACTAGAAATTGCTCAATCCATTGTGGAGAAGATAAATGCCGGAGAATATATGGCGGTATATGTTCTAGTGCCTATGTTTCCTGAAGGAGACCCAGCAAGTGGCCCTGTTCAAGAAATTCTTCACTGGCAGCATCGCACCATGCAGATGATGTATCGTACTATAGCTGAAGCTATTGAAGCAAATGAGCTAGGCACTCATCCAAGAGACTACCTCTCATTCTTCTGTCTAGGAACAGTTGAATGTCCTGAAGATTTAACTCCACCTGAATCAGGCACTCAAGCTTCTGAACTTCGGGAAAATGCAAGACTTATGATTTATGTGCACTCAAAAATGATGATTGTTGATGATGACTATATCATTATTGGCTCTGCGAACATCAATCAGCGAAGCATGGGTGGCACTAGAGACTCTGAAATAGCAGTAGGATGCTTTCAGCCACTGCACACACGAGAAGTGAGTGGCCAGCCACAAGGATCAATTTCTAAATTCAGGTTGGCACTTTGGGCAGAGCACCTGAGTGGTGTCAGTGAAATTCACATGAATCCAGGTTCAATTGAATGCATGCATGCTGTAAATAAACTAGCGGATAACAATTGGAGTGTCTATTCATCTGGTGAGCCTTGTAAAATTGAGGGCCATTTGATGCGATATCCAGTTGATGTTGGTCAGGATGGACAAGTGACGGCTCTGAAAGGTTCAGAAAACTTTCCAGATACTGAAGCTCCAGTTCTTGGAGCTCCAAACTGCTTGCCAAATAAATTGACGACATAATTCCAGTGGATCATTTGCTTAGTTCAAAGTGTTCCATTGATAAACTATTGAATGGAAATGTTTATATTATTCGAATACAGTTCATTTGATGTTTCTCTCATATAAGGCATATTATTGTTCAATGTTTTCATTAAAGTAAATTATATAAACATATCTTGTTAGGAATATTTTCATTGTTTTTAATTTGTGTATAGTAGCGTGGAAATCTAGAAATGACCAGATATTAATATGACATTGTATTGGTGCACTCATTATCACACCTGTCTTGAGAAACAGAAACATTGCACTTTGAGCCATAAATATAATTTTGTTAACATAAACAGAATATACAGGTACCTACTTACTTTAATTTGTAATTCCAGAATTCTAATTTTTTTTCTCATTTCAACTTCAGCCAAAGATTGATTTAAGAATCTAAATGCTGGCTCTGGAGCTTTAATCTGTAATTGGTGTAAATCTTATATGTTCAAGTACTTTATTTTATCTCATTTTGAAAAGGTATGTTAATATTTGGATACAAATTTACCTGCTATCAAAAATAAAAGGTAGATGCATTTAAACTTTATTTGGTATAGCAGTTTGAACAATGCAAAGTGCAGTTTGATCTTAATTTCAGTAGTGTATTGTACAGTAATTAACTAATGCTATACTTTTTTCATGTTAAATATCTAAAATGTTACCTGTATTTGAGGTATGAGAATAATAGTATGTTTTCCATTTTGTAATTTTGTCCATTGGACTAAAAAAAAAAAAATAGAAATTTAAATTTGAGGCTTTGGCCAATGACATGTCAGGGATAAATCACAATACGTTTGAATGGCTCTACCTTGTGTAACTTCCGGGGATCAACGGCCCCATGGCCCGGTCTCTGACCAGGCCTCGCAGTTGGACTTGCGTAGATCGCTTATATAAATCACATCCCATGGTTTCATTGTGGCATAAACATGGTGATTTAAGCTAAGCTCTGCCTGCTATGACTAATCCCACCACCTGTGCTACTGGTTACCTGTCTGCCATTAGCTTTATGCCTTGTACATGGGTTATTTACTTCATTTGTTGTGGTAAAAGGATTACACCCATAGAAAGTAGGTGGAGCAGGTTATATCTACAAACATGTTCCATATACTCTACCATTGCCACAGAAAGAGGAAACTAGATTGTTTCCTTCAAGGAGTGCCAGACCAACCGGGCTGTGGTGGGTATGTGGGCCTGCGGGCCGCTCCAAGCAACAGCCTGGTGGACCAAACTCTCACAAGTCAAGTATCCCAGAACCCCATCAACCTGGTTGATGGGGTTCTGGGAGTTCTTCTACTCCCCAAGCCTGGCCTGAGGCCAGGCTTGAACCAGGTATCATTAACAAATTATCACTCTTCAGGAATCATGAAACATCTGCAATGATAACATTTTTGTTCAGTTGTTTTGATTTAGTCTCATTAACATTTTATATTGAAAGACTAAGTGATATACACAAATCACATTAATGTGATGTATCAATGATGAGTCATTCATTTGTTATCTAAGATTTAAACACTCTTTATTGTGAGTAGTTTATTCCATGCAGATCTACAGTTTTACCCAAGGCTTAATTATAGATACCTGCTTTATCATGGGTTTAAAAGATTGTTAACCAGGGTTTGCATTGCATCACTTCTTGAATGATTTAACTGAAGTCACTTTTTGCAACTTATTTTAGTTTCAGGGTAAGATATCTCTCAACTTTTGTAGTGTGATATTGTGGTACCATATAGTTAGTGTCAGAACTATAACTTTTTTGTCATGTCTATCTTCAGTGGGCTAGAAACCATGAATTTTTGACAGCTTGTTATGCTTCCATTGTTAAAGTGTTACTTTTACATTATTGGATTTGAAGCTACTCGTAGTAAATCGGAATCTAATGGTACAATTTGTCGTTCTCCCAGATTCTTTTTGTTTTATCCTGGGTTTATTTACACTACCTCAGAATCATCCACAGGCCATGTCACTAAATCTAACCAATCACAGAAGGCTATATTGTTACCCAATAGTTTCAAGTATTAAGTGTTATTGATAAACCACCACATATAATCTTGGTAACAATAATTCTTTCATATGTGCACAGTGTTATCAGCCACTCTGTTATTCTCGGTCTAGAAGACAAGTTGTGTTCAATCTGAATGTCTTGCTGCTTACTCTGTTCCTAGTTCAAAATGCTGCAAAAATATTTGAACATAAAACAACGATTACCTCTATGATCACGGCCTTTGCATGCTATGAAATAGCACATTCCAAAGCCCTTGCATTCTTCTTGGTTCCTTGTTATTCATTCTTTCTAAAATAACATTAGTTTATCAATTCAGTTGCAAAAATAACTTAAGTTTTTTATGCTAAATATTTTTTAGTTAAAGCAGCTGATAATACTACAGAATTATGATTAGTGTCAAATGTTCAGGAAAGTATTTATGTATTTCAAAAAGATATTATGAATTTCAGTACTTCTGTGTAAGAATTTAACTGGTGAAAAACAAACTTTACCTTCTGGTGTTTGTGAATGGAAGTTTTGAACATTTTTAAAGTGCAAGAATCTTCTCAAAAGTACTTTTTTTCAGTGCAACTACTATTATGTCATCCAGACATTGAACAAAGGCCTCTTGGATACACTAATATTCTTACTTGCTTTAGATTGTCTGAAATTGTGCATGTTAGTTGATATGTGCGATTTACTGGTGCCTTGCAGATAGCTAATTTTATATTAAATAGCTTGACATTTATAGTGTTATAAAGTTTAGATATTGCATGATACTCAATACCATAGATAGTGATTTCCACAGCTTGTCATTTCTCCCACATTACATTTGTCATAGTGCATGAACGTGTCTTCCTTATGCTTAATTTGTGTGCTTAGAAATGTAAGTATGGCATCTTAGCGAGTTTATAATTTTCCAAAATGGAATTATTTTTTATATAAATGATTTTTTCAAGAGTTTGATCTTTCCATAAGCCCTAATACCTTTCCTACACAATTTAACAGCAAATGTTTCTTTGAAGCAATGTGTAAGAGATCAAATTACTTACTTCGTATATTTATTTCTATTTTTTTTTCTAAACGCGCAATTTGGGGGGTTAATGCCACTTGTGGTTAGTGGTTATTTTACTTTCAATTTGAAGAAATATTAATTTGTTCTTCAAATAATATCACATGAATAGAGTTGGAACAGACTACAGTAGCTTACAGTTGTCATCAGATATCCACAAAACAATTATTACTTGTCAAAATATACAATGGGAAATAAGTCAAGAATCAGTGTTGCAGGATTTTGTAGTAACTTTTTAAATTGCAGAAAAGACAATAATAAACACTTGAAATCAAATGTAAAACTTTAATGTATTGACCTGTTTATGACCACATTTCTACTTTACATGAAGTTAGAGTACACTTATTCTGAAGATAGAAGTTGGATACTCTGACTAATCTCCTTCACTTGTATCACAATGAATGCATGGCTGTAAGCACTGAGGGGGTATTGGGATCACATGCAAAACAAAATGCAATAAATTAGGATAAATATTCTAACCACTTCTGGGAAAAATATGGGTATTAACAGACCAGTATTCTCATTATTAACAATTTGCAGATGGTGTGGGCTTTTCCATTTTCCAAATGCAACTTGTTTAGAATACCACAAGCTTCTTTAAGTTCTTACTGTTTGTAGTTACTAGAAGAGAACTTTATACTATTTCTATGCTTAACACATCTATGATGGTAGCGAGGAGAACAAGTTGACTGTATTGGTAGTTACTGGGGAGGAAACTGTTAAACAAAAATTAAGACTGGAAACTAAAAAGTTCCCCAGGACTATATGAAGTGTTTGCCAGGATGCTTAAAGAATGTAAATAGCAAATTAGCGAGTCATTGTCTTTCATCTATAATAAATCATTACAGTCAAGCAAGAGTACCAGAATTGCAGAGCATTGCAAATGTTTTTTTTTTTAGAAGGGAGTTGTGTAAAAGACGACAACTGTTCACGGCTATCTTGTACAATAATGCAAAAGTTGCGTGCACGGTCATGATCTTGTACGGGGTGATGTTGCAATGGTCATGATCTTACATGGGGGTGATGTTGCAAGGACTAAAAATAGACAGTTGCAATTGAGCGAAATGAAAAGGGAAAATTCAAAATATTTTGTACAGGTATCAAAATAGATTGTACAAAGACAATTTTAAAAGGGATCGTTTAGTGAAAGTAGATTTTATCGCAGGTATGAAGTTTCTTTTTCAGGTAGGTAGTTCCTTTTCAGGTAGGGTGTTTTACAACACATAACGTATAGAGTGAAGATAGGAAGTACCTACAGGTAAGAAGAGGTGGCTCTTGCTTCCCCCTCACTCCCTGCTATGACAGTGAAGAAGCAAAATAAACCCCTGAATGTTCACTGAATGGAGACCCTATGTATTTCTCCATGTTCTCTCATCTGGTCATTTATCGTACCCAATGGCTGCGTCCCCCAGGGATTAACACACTTCTTTGGTGGAGGGATGGGAGTAAAACTGGAGATTTAGTGAGGCCACCTGAACCAATTGGCTCATCTAGTTAGCTCACCTAGTTTGACATCAGGTCAAATGGGCATTGCAGGGCTGGTATTCCTAGCAGTCAATGGGATACTATTCCGACCCTTTAATGCTGACCCATATATTCTGTCCTTGTTTCCTCTTGAAGTTGCCTATGTGCTTGTGCCTCCCTCTTCCTTGTTGGGCTCTGTGGTGGGTGCAGGGCAGCAAAGTCCAATTCTACTTTCTTTTATGTTTATTTTTTAATGCATCTCTCCTCAAACTTGTGGGGTTGGTGACCGGGTCTACGAATAGGACTGATGGAAGGTAGAGCTCCAGAGCTCTGACTATGGTGGGCCCATATCAGGCTTTATTTTTGGCTGCCCACCTTCTGATCCTCTCCCTTCCCCAGCCTATTCCTTGGTAGGGTCAACCTCTGAGTTCCCAGTGGTGACTATCAATATCACCTGGGGTGATTCAGTCTTTGATGTTACTATAACACCTTTTGTTCCTTCCTTTCCCATCCCCCCAACCCCTGAACCTTCCTTCTGGGAAGTCCAAGGCGACGTCCTTGCAGTCAAGTGTGCATATGGCCTAAATATTTCTACGTCTGCCATGATCATCATTCCCCCTTCTCCTGATTTGCACAAACACACCTTGAAGACTGGATGTTTGCATTAAGTTTAATTTTGCAGTATTTGGACAGGCACCCTTGTTGCCTTTTTAAACCTTCAACTGTTGAGACCCCCTCTATGCATGCTGTATATCCACTGTATTCCCTTTTATATATAAAAATCTTGCTCTGAAGGACAAGTGAGTACTGAGCAGTACTCAAGACAATACAGGACAGCAACAGCGATTTAAATAGTATTAGCATTGCAGTGGGATCCCTGGATTTGAACGTTCTCATAATTCATCCTATAATTTTCCTGGCTGATGCTATATTTACTTGGATATGTCAGGTCATCAGACAATTCCTAGCTCTTTAACATGTTTCCTTTTTATGGGTAGATCTGATTGAGGCTTGTACTGTGTTGCATTTACATTCAACATTTCCACCATACCTAAGCACAGTACTGTAACTAGAATTTATTGTTAAACATCAGATTATTTTTCAGTTGCCCAATCAAAGACTTTACTAGTATTGGCTTGTAGTTTTCAGTGTCTTCCGCAGAGGTAATTTTCATGCTGATTTTTGTATCGTCTGCAGTAATGACATGAAGTCATGTCATTATGTATGTATATGCACGCCCATCTTGACCTTGCTGCAGGCTCATTTAGTATCATTATCTGTTTCATATCAACAGTTACATATTTAGATACATATATAAAATAATAATGTACAAAAATATAATTTTTTTATTAATATGAATTAGGAATACATAGAGTAATGTACATATGAAGTTTTGATGGGTATGTAAATGTTGACTGGATCAAGGCTATTTTGATCCTGTGCTGCTCACATTCTCATTCCTGACCACACACCTTCCAACACAGACCTACTGCATCTTCACCACCCCACCACCTGCCTCCACTGACAATACCCCCACCACCTGCCTCCATGGACACCACCACCACCCACCACCACCTGCCTCCACTGACACCACCACCACCACCTTCCTCTCCTGACTTCATTTTGTCATCCCTCAGCCCCTCCTCACTGGATACAATAAGTAAAATAAAACACTACAATTATTTATACTTGATAATGTTTATTCAGGTAAAAGTACATACATTCAAAATGAGTTAAAATAGAATGTTGGACTTCTAGACAGTTAGTGCAGTCATACTATGCCTAAACCCACTAATACGCACAATGTTTCCGGGCAAGATGTGGGGAAAAACACTTGGACTAAACCTTAAAACTAATTGAGTTTGAATTGAAGGGAAAACAAAGAAAAAATAATTATGATAATTACATGATGGATGGAACAGCATAAATTGAAACAGCAGAAGTAATTTAAACTAAACAAACAGAAGACTACAGTTTTCATCCAAGTTTATATATGGTGGATATCAGCAGTTATAAAAGTTGGTCAATAATCAGTATTGTTTGAAAATAGCAAGACATGGATTGACTTAAGGGGGTAAGGGTAAGGAGAATGGGCAGAACTCCTCTCGAAATCCTTCAGGTATGCTATAGAAAGTGAACACCTTTGTTTTCCCAGGCAGTATTAATTATAGGCACACAAAATCATTTGCCATTACAGTATTTATATATTTTTTGTAAGTCTAAATGTGTGTACAGTACATTTATTTTATCTATTCCTAACGAAACTAAATCTAGAAAATATGACAATAAATGGTTCCAAAAAGACAAATTTCTGGACATTGCTATTTACTGCAAGTCAGGATCAGTTCATGAACTATAAAATTTGGATTTGGGACGAACTCATATTTATTTGACAGTTTTGTTTGGTCCTAACAGTCATCGCAATATTGTGCTGACTAATGCCAGAAAGACTATTGACCACTGCCCAGACCAAAATAAGAGTAGATACTTTTTTTTCCCCATCCTTTTGAATAGATGTATTTCATGATTAAAAACAGGTAAAATCATTTTTTTATTTTGTGCAGTCAGGGTGCACAAACAGCCACACTTTAAGGATTAATATACATATGTACACATAATATACTGTATTACAGCAGAAACTGTACATATTCATTAAATGTTTTGTATTTGTCCTCTAAAATGAACTTTATTTCATTATCATTAATTTTGAATGTTTTTCCACAGGTGTCAGCAGACAGTAGGTGTTGGATCTTTGACTCGCGAATGTGTCTTTGTTTTGAAGTATAATACATCCAACCTACTGTACCTGCATGCATTTAAGTTATGGTTTGGACCTCACAACTGTACTGAACTACTATAAGGGCACAGGCAACATTGGCATTTTGGCATTCTGGCACTATAAAAATGGCAATGTTAAGGGGATATCTGTATGTTGATCTTATTGAAGCAGAGAATTTGCCTGACTGTGACACAGCATTCTTCAATATTGATCCTAAAGACACTTCAGATGCTTTTGCTCAGATAAAAATAGGACATTGCGTCCTTTGCAAGACAGCCGTTATTAACAATGACCTTTCACCAAAGTGGCAGGAATCACATAGAATTCCTATATGCCATTCTTCTGATAAGCTGCAAATTCAAGTTTTGGACAAAGATCATTTTGATGCTGGACTGCTTGGGGAGGTCATCATCAGGCCAGAAGATCTTATGGATGGCGAGACCTTAGAAGGATGGTATCCACTGTCTGGCAGTGATGGTCGTATCAAGCTTAAAATGAATTATGTTCCTAAAGAAATGATTGAGGCAACATTTGAGGTTCCTGATTGCTACTTCAAATTACGAGAAGGTTGCAAAGTTACTCTGTATCAGGATGCACACTGTCCACCTCTTCCCATTTATGAGGGCATCCCAACAGCTGATGGCGAAGTTTTTAATCCACCCTGTGCTTGGGTTGACTTGTATAAAGCAGTGAATGGTGCTCAAAGATTTATATATGTTACTGGTTGGAGTGTGTATACAGAAACTGTCCTAGTAAGAGATGACTGTGATTGTGAAGATGGCAAGGGGGAATCCTTTGGTGAACTACTGAAAAGAAAGGCAGATGAAGGTGTACGTGTATTGGTGATGATCTGGAATGAGAAAATGAGTACAGATTTAACAGTGGGGTTTATGGGTACTCATGACGAAGAGACACGGATATTCTTTCAAGATTCTGATGTTGAAGTAGCAGTAGTCCCTAGAGTACGTTGCTTTGAGGGAATGGCATCTTTCTTTCAAAATCAGTTTTCTCAAACATGTTATACGCATCATCAAAAGACAGTCATCCTTGATTGCCCTCCTATAGATGGTGAAGATTTGCCAAGAATTCAAGCTTTTATTGGAGGACTTGATATTACTGATGGCAGATATGATACACCAGAACATGAGCTTTTCAGAACAATTCAGACCCTTCATCAAGGGGACTTTTATAATGGTGTTGCAACAGTCACCAGTGAAGTTGGCCCTCGTGAACCTTGGCATGATATTCATTGTCGTTTAGAGGGGCCTATAGCTTTAGATGTTCTTGCAAATTTTACTGAACGATGGAGAAAACAGGTCCATGACAGAGAGTCTCGCCTCCTTCCTATTTCAGAAGAAATGTTTGCATTGGAAGCTCCAGTAACTGGTGAAGAAGACGAATTATGGAGTGCACAGATTTTCAGGTCGATTTCATCAGACTCTGCTCATTTTAGCTTTAGTAGATTTTCAACTATTCCAAAGAGAAGGGGTAAATATGTTGATGACAGTATCCATCGAGCATACATTCATCAGATTCGACGAGCAGACAGTTTTCTATATATTGAAAATCAGTATTTTCTTGGATCGGCTTATAACTGGGATGAAGAACAAAGTACTAAGGCTTACCACTTAATTCCGCTGGAAATTACTCAGCGTATTCTGGAGAAGATAAATGCCGGAGAATATATGGCGGTGTATATACTAGTGCCTATGTTCCCTGAAGGAGACCCAGCAAGTGGGCCTGTTCAAGAAATTCTTCACTGGCAGCATCGCACCATGCAGATGATGTATCGTGCTATAGCTGAAGCTATTGAAGCAAATGAGCTAGGCACTCATCCAAGAGACTACCTCTCATTCTTCTGTCTAGGAAAAGGTGAATGTCCTGATGATATTCCTGAAGATCTGACTCCACCTGAGCCAGGCACTCCAGCTTCTGTACTTCGGGAAAATGCAAGACTTATGATTTATGTGCACTCAAAAATGATGATTGTCGATGATGACTACATCATTGTTGGCTCTGCAAACATCAATCAGCGGAGCATGGGTGGCACTAGAGACTCTGAAATAGCAGTAGGATGCTTTCAGCCACTGCACACACGAGAAGTAAGTGGCCAGCCACAAGGATCAATTTCTAAATTCAGGTTGGCACTTTGGGCAGAGCACCTGGGAGGTGTCAGTGAAATTCACATGAATCCAGGTTCAATTGAATGCATGCAAGCTGTTAATGAAATGGCAGATAATAATTGGAATGTGTATTCATCTGATGAGCCTTGTAAAATTGAGGGCCATTTGATGCGATATCCAGTTGAGGTTGGTCAGGACGGATCAGTAACAGCCTTGGAAGGTTCAGAAAACTTCCCAGATACTGCAGCTCCAGTTCTTGGAGCTCCAAACTACTTGCCAAATAAGTTGACAACGTAATTTTAATGGCTCATTTTCTAGTTCAAAGTATATGGTAATAAATATGAATGGAAATGTTTATATTGTGTGGATAATTTTATAAAGTTCTCGTGCATTAGATATTTTATTGCTCGATGTTAACATCACAGTAATTTATGTGAACAGATGCTCTTGGAAATACTTTCATTCAGTATTAATCTGTGTTCTGTGGTGTAGCAGTCTAGAGATGAGACTTTAGCTATTGGTATTACATGGCAGTGGGCCTCTCATTATTTATCTCTTGAAACTCCTGTTTCAAAATATAAAATGTACAATTTGAGCCATAAAAAAGAGTACAGTATAACATTTTATACAGTTCTCGGGTCTCACCTGACATGGTTTGTAATTCCAAAATGCTGTAAAATTATATATATATATATATATTTTTTATTACTCAAATTGCAACTGTATTAAATTAAGCCAAAGATTGCTTTAAGTGTGTAAATGCTGGCTTTTGGAGATTTAATCTGGAATTGGTGTAAATCTTGTATGTTCAAATACAGTAATATTTTAGCTCTTTTGAAAATATATTAATAGTTTACCTGCAATAAATGCTAAAAAAAAAGGCAGCTACATTTAAACTTAGTGAAGTAGCGTGAGTAAATTCTGAAATGCAAAATGCAGTTTGATTGTATATTACTGTATTGCATATGTTACATTACTGTACTGCATATTATGTTATATTACTGTACTGCATACTTTAATGATGTTACTTATGTTTTTCATGTTAACAAAGAAAATATTTTAGATATTTATTAATGTTAGTGTATTGCATTTTTAAAATTTGTGTAATAGTTGATGTTTTATTCACTACTTGTTTGAAGACAGTTAAATTACTAATTTCTTTTTATTCCACTTATTTTTCATATTATATTTGTGACACATTTTGGTCATAGTTTTGTTTGTTTAATGTTGCACCCTTAACTAAAGTTTCACCTCTTATCCACACTTGGAAACAGCCTCTGACATTTGCAACTCTCCGTCACCTTACCATTATCGTATACAACATTTAGCTGAGAGAAAGTTCCGTTAGGTCGTAAGAAATCCTGGAGACATTCTCAGAATGGTGGAAGTTTGCTAGTGTGTACACCATGGTATGGTTTTATTTCTTTTACCAGTACTTAGCATTTTCATAGCCAGAACAGATCTAAACAAACACAGTACTATATAAGATATTCAAAATTTCCCCAAACTTTCTCTGCCTCAAATTAGCTGGAATGAATTTTAAATTTAACACAACTGCAATGATAAACAAGAAATGTTAGGGGTTATACAGCAGCTTTAATATTAATACTTCTCAAATCAAACTACAAGTACTGTTTGGGGCCACAGTCCGGTGGTCCCAGTAATTATTGTGGAAGGTTTACAGACAGATGGCGTGTCTCATGGACATCTTTGTCTTCATCGTCATTGTTTATATGCTTCCTTATTACTGTAATTTCTGTCATTGGCATAAGCAGTAAGCAAAATGTTTCTTACACTAGCTATCATTGTTGACAAATGAAGTCACATAACACGTGTCTTAAATTTAGAATTTTGGAGTAAGGTACGACCTCCACCAGGTATTGGTTGAGGATGTTGGAAATTGTGTAATCTATTGCCATAATGCCAGCTACATGGATAGTCTAAATCCCTTCTTGATGTGTGTCCACAATGTGTGTTGAGCATCTGAGACAGGCATGGTCTAATGCACTACTTTTCTTTGTATACAATGATATAGTGCAGTTTGCAAGAGGCAAACACTTGCAGTGAAGTCCAGCATTGATTTGATCCAATCTCACTAACATCTAATATTGAAAGACAAGTGATATGTTTAAATCATTTGCTATCCAAGGCTTGATTCTCATACACTTAGTTGTTTATACACTGCATCTATTACCCAGGGTTTTATCATGGACACCTGTTTTATTATGAGTTTAAACAAGTCTCATCACTGCTTTGTTGCTTCAGTTGAAGACAGGCATTATCACTCATTTCGCTTCCAGGGTAAGAAATATCTCTCTCTTTTTTCAGTATATGTGATGTAGTAGTACATTTAGTCAGTGTTAGAACTCCGTTTTTGTCATGACTCTTACCTTCAGTGAGCTAAGAACCATGGGGAATTTAAACATCTTGTTATACTTCCATGTTAATCATATTTTTTGTTTTGTATTACTGGATTTTAAAGCTTCTTTCATTATATCTTCTGAATTGAATGGTATAACTTCACTTGCCCAGATTCATTAGTGTCAAGAAGATAGTGTGCTTTTTCAATGTCTAGTTCCTTATTCTGTTGGTACTGTAGTTAAATAAGCTGCTAAAATATTTGTATGTAAAACTACTACCTCTATGAACACTGCCTATGCATACTATGAAATGGTACATTCCAGAGCCCTGACATATTCATCTCGGTTCTTTTGTTATTCAATCTTTCTAAATTAACATTATTTGAGGGGGGTTACTAAAGTTATTTTTATACATTTATAGTGAATTTTAGGCAGCTAATTATATTACAATAGTGCCAGTGTTTTGGGAAGTGTTTATTTTAGAAAATTATGAATTTCAAAATATTTTGTACGTAAGAATTGGTATAACTATGAAAACAAGCTTGGCTTAGTATATGTGAATGGGACTGGCTTAAACATCTTTAAAATGTAAGAATCTGTCATAAAGTACTATTTTAAGTGCAACTACCTGTATTACTGTGTGCATATATTATACAATATAGACATTTTGTAAGGCCTTTTGGATATTTGTTACTCCCTGCAGATTGTCTGAAATTGTGCATGTTAGAATTAATATATGTATGATCTACTGGTGCCTTGCGGATAGCCAATTTTATATTAAATAGCTTGACATTTATAGTGTTGTAAAGTTTAGATATTGCATGATACCTGATTCCATAAACTAAATGTTCTCCACAGCTTGTCATTTCTCCCACATTACATTTGTCATTGTGCACGAACGTGTCTTCCTTATGCTTAATTTGTGTGCTTAGAAATGTTGTCTTTGAAATTGTGGCTTCTCACTTTATAAATTTATATGTATGTATAATTCTTTATATAAATTATTTCTGCAAAAATTTGATCTTTTCATAAGCCCCATTATCTTGCATGATTTGCTGATGAATGTTTCTTTGAAAAGTAATGTGTGAGATCAAATTAGTTACTATATTTTGCCTATTTTTATCAAAGAGGTTACCCCCTGTTTTAAAAACTTTAATTAGCATGCCATAATTAGTATTTAAAAGGAAGGAAATCACAAGGTATGTATATAGGTAAAACATTTAATAAAAATAAATAACATTGTAGCTTCAGGCACTATTCAAATCCTCTGGAGCTAGATGTAAATCTCCACAAAGCTACTCCTCTCCATAGACACAAAAGAGCGAAATAAATAATCCTCAAACTTATTAGATGAATGTACAGTATGGTCAATACAAATTTAAATGTCAATCACTTAATCCCTGTAATGTAAGTTTTGTCACTTAATTACATCTACCTGAAAATTAGTCGATGGGGTACCCAGCAATGCCTGGGTAAACCTGGTGACAAGGTAGAGCCCAAAAGGTAACACCATACAGTATAAGTAATGAAAGTCCCAAAAATGCAAATCTACCATAAAATTCTGCAGGTAAAATAAAATATACAAAAATACTTCCATTTGAGGTGCAATGTAGATAAGACACTGTAGATCAGAATTGGCACAATGGGGGCAGACCCTGATCTAAAAGGAGAAAGTGGGCCTTATCACACTGGCAAGGAAAGAGAGCAAAGGCATGAATATGTGTGACTAGACCGACACGAGCAAATGCCATCTTCTGAATGAGACAAGCCCAAAAGGAGAATCTACCTCCTGGGAAGAAACTAAGCTGTCCAGTGGAAATTAGTACTGTATAAAAATTTGGCATGCAAATGCAGACAGCATTATGAATAAATGGGGAGAGCTGCATCTCCATATTGCAGTTAAAGACAAAACCGATGACCTCAATAGAGGATGCAGTATCCCCAAGAGAACACCAGGTAGTGAGAAGAAAAGATGAATAGGTGGAGGAGGAGTAGCCCTAATGATAAAACATTTGAGTTTAAAGGAAATAGACATGCCAGAGGTAACCAACTATGTAGCAGGATTTCATACTAGGTATAACGGTGAGGACCAAAAGGGTAGTGGTAGGTCTTATTTACTACCTTCCATAAACAAGAGGAATGTTACAGTAGGATTGTGATAAATGCATTGAAATGTGCCCGAGGATAATGAGGTGGCCACAATAGCAAGGAGAACCAGAGCAAATATCTTAAGACTACTTAGGTATTTTATCCACAGGGAAATAGACTGGTCAACAGGGGATCTTAATGGGAGAGAGAAAACGAGAGCAAGATTTGTGAACACTACAAACACTTCTTGTGTCAACATATCAAGGAGTCGACAAGAGAGAGAGAGAGAGAGGATCTACCAGCTACCCTAGACCCAAACCTAAAATAAAGATGATGTAGAGAATTTAAAATATAAGGTACCACTAGGAGTTAGTGACCACTGTGTTACTGTGATTATATTGTAGAGCTGAGAGTGAGTGAGTTTAATTAAAATTGAATTCATTGTATTGGGGACAGGCAGCTAAAGTGTATTTTTGCATGTTAGGCTTACATCGAAGTCCACCCCACCCTTTCATGCTACAATCTCTCAACAAGCTGACTAACCCCTGGGTACCTTACTGCTAAGTGAACAGGTGCATTTGGTGATAAGAAGTGTGCCCAATCATTTCTGTCCCACTTGGGATTTGAACCCAGAATTCTTGATTGTGAATCGAGAATGAACACGACCATACTACTGGGACCTTCAGTTAGAAACAGTTAAAGGAGCATGAGAATACAGAAGAGGGGACTACAGGAGGGTTAGGGATTATCTACAGGGCATTCAGTGGGAGACTGAAATGGAAGGAACGTCGGCAAATAAGATAGCGGAACTCATAACAGAAATTCAAACAAGCTCATACTTTCAGTTCATACTTTTTTTCAGTTCATACTGTTCTTACATACTGTGAACAGTTCATACTTTTCAGGCGAGAACTTGATGAAAGAAGAATTGCAAACCCATATTTGGTTCAACAGACAGTATAAGGAGAAGAAGAAAGAAAAATGTATTGGAAAAAATATAGGGACATAGGTAGAGGTAAATAGGGAGGCACTAAAGAGGGCGAGGAGTGAGTACACAAGAATCAGGAGAGCAGAAATTTACGAATGACACTGTGACAAAAGCAAAGAGACAATCTAAGCAGTTGCATAGCCATATACAAATGAAAACAATAGTATAGAACCGTGTAATGGGACAGGAAAGAAAGCTTTGAGAATAAAAAAGAAGTGTGGGAAGAACTCATTAAGATGTTCCAAGAGGTTTGTGATTGGTGTCCAAGTAGGGGATGACAACAGACAAGCATAAACAACACTAGACAGAATTAAAGTTAATGTGGAATTGGTCAAAAGAAAACGAGGAACTGGATGTAGACCCAGATCAGATATCACCATGGTTATTGAAAAAATCTGCAGATCTTATGTTATCCATTAATGATAGTATTCATCATTACACTGGAGATAGGAGAGCTACTGGGATTATGTTCCTATGATAGACTATAATGCTCCTTATATTTCTAAGAAGTTTCAATAGCTTGTACTCTAGGAGCTTGTGCACTTACAGCTAAAATATTAAAGACTCAACTCAAATACTCAAGTAAGAGTGTGTTACATTACAGTGTCAAGTTTAGTCAGCCTGTGGTCTATCCACAGACCATGATGTTTGTAAGTCTGCAGTTCTGTCTGCGAACTGTTTGAATGTGCCTTTGGCAGATATTCAGGACTGGTGTGTTTTGTGGTCCAAAATAGTGTTGGTAGCCCATTCCTTAGTGAATTTTTTAGTCTACTCTGAGCTTGTGTGGCTTTGGGGTAGTTATTTCATCGCTAACTCCCTCTTCCTAGGGGTTATTTTCTGTGGCTCTCCTTCCCCTCTGGTGAGTATTCCTTTTAATATTTCTCTATGGTGGCATAGCACCAAGGAATCCCATTAGGAGCCTCACAGAAAACCCAACATTGAATACAATGAAATGACCTTTCTGGTATTTGTGAACAGTGTACGCATTCTGGAGTGCATTCTGAAGAATATAAATGCCGGAGAATATATGGCGGTGTATATTCTAGTGCCTATGTTCCCTGAAGGAGACCCAGCAAGTGGATCCTTGGGTCTCTTATTCCCATTCAGGATCTTCAGTTTTCTGTCTCCCTGGTTATATGACTGAGGGTTCAAGTATGGTGCACTGAAGAGGAAAGTGCTCAGTCTCCTGGACCTGTGCAGGTGCAACTAATGTGAGAATTACTTCACCATCAAGTGGATTGTAAATCTCTGGGTTTGCTGTCCTATTTTCTATGCTTTGTTTACTTTGCTGCTTGTTTTGGTTTACCACTTTTTTAATGGCCTTTTTCTTGGTAAGGGTTAGCTATGATTCCCTGCTCCTTACACCTCTTTAGAAGGCACCAGGTTTTTATCTCTGGTCCCCACTCTTGGTTTATATAAGATTTGCAAGGACCTGTCATGGATTGAATTGGTCAGAGCTTTCCAGATAGCAAGTACTAGGCAGCCACCTAGGACCCACCAGAAAGAGGCATTGCATTACATTCAACATTGTTTTTTTTACAGTAATATTATACAGTAGAATATGTTTAATATTTTGAATTTCTCATCTGAAATCAAATTTATTTCATAATCATTAATTTTGGTTGTTTTTCCACAGGTGTCACCGCAGACAGTAGGTGTTGGATCTGTGAATCACGAATTTTTTTGTTTTGAAGTGGTAATATATCCTACCTACCTACCTACTGCATGCTGTTGTGTATTTAGTAATTGTTTGGGCCTAACTACTCTACTATTCTACTATAAGAGCACAGAAAACATCAGCATTTCGGTATTCTGGCACTATAAAAATGGTAATGTTAAGGGGATATCTGTATGTTGATCTTATTGAAGCAGAGAATTTGCCAGACTGTGACACAGCATTCTTCAATATTGATCCTAAAGATACTTCAGATGCCTTTGCTCAGATAAAAATAGGACATTGTGTTCTTTGTAAGACAGCTTTTATCAACAATGACCTTTCACCCAAGTGGCAGGAATCACATAGAATTCCTATATGCCATCATGCTGATAAGCTGCAAATTCAAGTTTTGGACAAGGATCATTTTGATGCTGGACTGCTTGGGGAGGTCATCATCAGGCCAGAAGATCTTATGGATGGCGAGACCTTAGAAGGATGGTATCCACTGTCTGGCAGTGATGGTCGTATCAAGCTTAAAATGAATTATGTTCCTAAAGAAATGATTGAGGCAACATTTGAGGTTCCTGATTGCTACTTCAAATTACAAGAAGGTTGCAAAGTTACTCTGTATCAAGATGCACACTGTCCACCTCTTCCCATTTATGAGGGCATCCCAACAGCTGATAGCGAAGTTTTTAATCCACCCTGTGCTTGGGTTGATTTGTATAAAGCAGTGAATGGTGCTCAAAGCTTTATATATGTTACTGGTTGGAGTGTGTATACAGAAACTGTCCTAGTAAGAGATGACTGTGATTGTGAAGATGGCAAGGGGGAATCCTTTGGTGAGCTACTGAAAAGAAAAGCAGATGAAGGTGTACGTGTATTGGTGATGATCTGGAATGAGAAAATGAGTACAGATTTAACAGTGGGATTTATGGGTACTCATGATGAAGAAACAAGGATATTCTTTCAAGATTCTGATGTTGAAGTAGCCATAGTCCCTAGAGTACGTTATTTCGAGGGAATGGCATCTTTCTTTCAAGACCAGTTTTCTCAAACATGTTATACGCATCACCAAAAAACGGTCATCCTTGACTGCCCATCTGCAGATGGTGAAGATTTGCCAAGAATTCAAGCTTTTATTGGAGGACTTGATATTACTGATGGCAGATATGATACACCAGAACATGAGCTTTTCGGTACAATTCAGACCCTTCATCAAGGGGACTTTTATAATGGTGTTGCAACAGTCACCAGTGAAGTTGGCCCTCGTGAACCTTGGCATGATATTCATTGTCGTTTAGAGGGGCCTATAGCTTTAGATGTTCTTGCAAATTTTACTGAACGATGGAGAAAACAGGTTCATGACAGAGAGTCTCGCCTCCTTCCCATTTCAGAAGAAATGTTTGCATTAGAAGCACCAGTAACTGGTGAAGATAATGAACTATGGAGTGCACAGATTTTCAGATCGATTTCATCAGACTCTGCTCTTTTTAGTTTTGATAGATTTTCAACTATTCCAAAGAGAAGGGGTAAATATGTTGATGACAGTATCCATCGAGCATACATTCATCAGATTCGACGAGCAGACAGTTTTCTATATATTGAAAATCAGTATTTTCTTGGATCTGCTTATAACTGGGATGAAGAACAAAATACTAAGGCTTACCACTTAATTCCGCTGGAAATTACTCAGCGCATTCTGGAGAAGATAAATGCTGGAGAATATATGGCGGTGTATATACTAGTGCCTATGTTCCCTGAGGGAGACCCAGCAAGTGGGCCTGTTCAAGAAATTCTTCACTGGCAGCATCGCACCATGCAGATGATGTATCGTGCTATAGGTGAAGCTATTGAAGCAAATGAGCTAGGCACTCATCCAAGAGACTACCTCTCATTCTTCTGTCTAGGAAAAGGTGAATGTCCTGATGATATCCCTGAAGATCTGACTCCACCTGAGCCAGGTACTCCAGCTTCTGTACTTCGGGAAACTGCAAGACTTATGATTTATGTGCACTCAAAAATGATGATTGTCGATGATGACTATATCATTGTTGGCTCTGCAAACATCAATCAGCGGAGCATGGGTGGCACTAGAGACTCTGAAATAGCAGTAGGATGCTTTCAGCCACTGCACACTCGAGAATTGAGTGGCCAGCCACAAGGATCAATTTCTAAATTCAGGTTGGCACTTTGGGCAGAGCACCTGGGAGGTGTCAGTGAAATTCACATGAATCCAGGTTCAATTGAATGCATGCAAGCTGTTAATGAAATGGCAGATAACAATTGGAATGTCTATTCATCTGATGAGCCTTGTAAAATTGAGGGCCATTTGATGCGATATCCAGTTGAGGTTGGTCAGGATGGATCGGTATCAGCCTTGGAAGGTTCAGAAAACTTCCCAGATACTGCAGCTTCAATTCTTGGAGCTCCAAACTTCTTGCCAAATAAACTGACAACGTAAATCTAATTGACTATTTGCTAGTTCAAAACATTACAGTAATAAACTATGAATTTAAATTTTTATGTTGTGTAAAATATTGGTTATGTGTGACATTGCGGTGGAGCTCTCATTGCTACAAATTCTTGTTTCAAGAGACAAAGCTGCAATTTAAGCCATAATGAGAGCATATTTGAATATATATTGTACAGTATATTCCTTAGTTGACTTGTAAATTCTATAATGCTGTAAAAATAGTGTTTTTATATTACTGTATTCCTGAAACTACAACTTTATTAAAGCCAAAGATTGATTTATGTATTTAAATACTTGTTTTAGAGATTTAATCTGGAATTGGTACAAATCTTATAACACGTTGATGTACTTTTAATCTCATTTTGAAAGGGTATTTATTATGTTAATATTCAGACGTAAGTTTACCTGCTATGAAAATAAGATGATGCAATTAAACTTGATTTTGAACAATTAAACAGGTTGATAGGTTGAACAATTCGGTGAGTGCAAAAGGTGGTTTGATCTTAATTACAGTGTTGTACTGTATAGGACTTTAATCATGTTACTTTATTCTGTTTAACATGTTCATTATGAAAAATGTTAGCTGTATTTTAGTTTACTATTTTGTAATGTTTTACACTAGACAAAAAAAATTGTACAGAATTTGAACTTTCTGCTTAGGCCTGTGACATGTCAGGGATAAAATCACAATCCATCTGAATGGCTTATGTAGATGGCTTAAACAAGTCACATCCCATGATTTGAATATTGATTAGACTTTGTCCTGTGGTTGGGTTTAGCTTAAACCCTTGAGACCACAAAGTCTTTAATGACTCCCTATCTTTTATGTCAAATTGTAGGATATGGACTGAAGTTGTGCAGTTGTTGGTTGTAAAAACAGCTAGTATATGTAAGTTATATAATTTATCTTTACTTAGTTTTCGCAAGTAGTTTTTAATGTATATAAAATTCTAAACCTTGGCACTTTTATCAAGCTGATTTAAAAATTGTACTGTTATTTTGTTCATCATTGTTTTGGCTTATATATATTCTGTATTATTCACTTCAGTCCTTGACAGAATCCAATCATAAAAGTCTATGTTCTTATCCAGTGTCTCAAATATGAAAAAGTCTATGTTCTTATCCAGTGTCTCAAATATGAAGTGTTACTGATAAATGACATCCTGTATATAATCTTGGGAACAATACTTTCTTCATATGTGCTTAGTGTGTTATCACTGACTCCATTATCCTCTGTCAAAAAGATAAGCTGTGCTCATTCTGTTGCTAGTTCAAGAAGCTGCTAAATGTTTCTACATAAACCTACTTCTACCTCTAGGAACACTGCCTTTGCATGTCATGGAAATAGTATATTTCAGAGCCTTGACATTATTCTTAGTTCTTTGTTAGTCATCCTTCCTAAATTAACATTAGTTTATGGGGCCACTAAAGTTATTTTGATAATGTAGTTTAGTTAAGGCAGCTAATATTATTGTAGTACTGTATTACAATAGTGTCAATGTTTGGGGACGTATTTATTTAATAAATATGTTATGAATTGCATAATATTTTATATATATTAATAGGTGTAAACTGTAAAAACATGCTTTACACAGTACTTGTGACTGGAACTGTTTTGAACATCTTTACAGTGCAAGAACCTTCAATACAGTACAGTACTATTTCTAAGTGCAACTACAACTGTATGCAAATGTCATTCAAACATTTGCAAAATATTGATGCTTGCTGCTGATTATCTGTGTTCAACATTGTGCATGTTATAGTTGACTTACATAAAAGTTATTGGTGCCTTGCTGACAGCTGATTTTATATTAAATAGCTTGATATTTACAGTGTAATAAAGTTTAGATATTGCATGATACTCAACACTGTGAACAATGTTACATGCAGCTTGTTATTTTTCCCACTACATTTTTTATAGTGCATGAACATTTTCTTATACTTTTTTTGCATATGACATTGTTGATTCTATGAATTTCTAAATTTATATTTTTTATATTAATTATTTCTGCAAGAATTTGATTGTCATAAGCCCTAATACCTTTTCTACATGCTTTTCTGGTGATTTTTTTTTACTTGAAAAGCAATTGTGTATGAGATCAAATAAGTTATTTTATTTATTTTGCTAATCTGTATCATGAGGGTACTCTGTTTTACAAACTTTATTTGGCATGCTATATTCCAAATCCGAGTGTTTGCTTTCTAATTTTTAAAATGCATAAGATGGGGTTGTAACCGCTATTGGTGAGTAGGTAATGTATTTAAGATTCAGTCAAATATGTTAAAAATATTGTTCCTCAAATAATATTGTGTGGATACAGTTGGAACAGACTACAGTAGCTTACAATAATCATCAGATGTTCTCAAAACAATTATGACTTGCCAAAATGTGCATCATGAAGAAAGGTAAAGAATGAGCATTGAAGAGTTTTGAAGTAACTTTTAAAATTGCACAAAATAGACAATAATAAATACTTTGAATAAAATTTATTAACCAAGTCTCTCAAAACATTACAAATATTAAAGTGCATAAAGAGAAAAATGTAAGTAACTATTATGATAAAAGATGCAAGAAATCTCAGCATTATTTATATGCTAGAACCTTTAAAAGTACAATACAACACAACATTTTAACATTTGGGACAATTAGTATTTATTATATTTGTGTAAGTATGTACTGTACTGTACTGTAATCTACACAATTTGAGAAACCACCTTGTGCATTACAGCCAGAAGTTATACTTTTGCAAGTACAATTATCTTGCCTTTGTAACCACTCCTGAAATGTTTTGAATTTGTTGTGTGCTATCCAAATTTGTTGCTAGATGTAAGAATGGTCCATTGTTAATACTTTTGAAAGATAACTATGACCATGTGAAATTGAAATAAGTTTATTGAGGTAAAATACACACAAAGGGATGAGGTAGCTCAAGCTATTCTCACCCTGTATGATCGTGTTGCCTTGGGAATTTCTAAAAGGAAATTTAAGTTAATACCATGCCCAATCTGGAAAAGCAAATGCATTTATTTAAAGATGGCAACACGATTTAATACAGTAATGAATTTTACCCAATATATGAAACAAGATCTATTTATATAAAACAGTTAATAAATAAAATTATCCCCACATAATAATTTGTAGTTTAATCCTAGGACTATATACAGTACTGTACTTGTTTTCCCCAGATCAAAATGTGATTGTATGGGAAATTGTTCTTCCCTTAACACTTAACTATAACTATTAAAATATAGATAAAGCTTAATTGGTCTTCAAGGTATAGGTAATAGTATCTCGTTTATTTAAGGCTTGGAAGGGGCCTGACCCCCTTTCAAGTGCTATATAGTCGTAATGACTTGGCGCTTTTCCCCTGATAGTTCCCTTCTTTGACATCAAACAGATTCGCCTCCGGGTCGGGTTGTTTTGTGCTTGCATAATGAATAATTTTAATAAAATACCAAGAAGACAAATATTTAACTTGTATATTAGTAAGCGTTCATGTATGGAATATAATCTACATTTTTAATCATATTTATTCACCATAGAATTAAATTTCTGTCAGCCATAAGATTAATTAAATCTCTTAAAAAGTCATAATTTATTTATACATATTATATATATATATATATATAATATATATATATATATATATATATATAATATATATATATATATATAAGAAGGTAAAGGTATTATATAAATAAATAAATAAAGGTACTTTGGGGTACAAAGTACATTGAAAGTACAATGAAAAATACTTTACACAAGAAGCATGTTCAATAAAAAGTTCAGACATTCCTGAACTAGCGAGCCGTACCAAGCCTTCATTCCCTGCCCCAAACCCAAAAATGAGCTTGAGTTCATGTTTATTGTGACAAGAAAGAAATACATCTCAAAGGGATAGAGTAGCTTAGGCTATTTCTACCCTCCCAAGTAAGCTTGAACTTGGCGCCCACAGCTGAAGCCTCGCCTCTAAAATTATGGCTCGCCAGTCTTCCTGGGCAAGCTAGCCGCGGTGGAAGTGCTGTTCCTCGCGGGCGCTCGTGTCATCGACCTTGGCTCGTGTGTGTGTATATACGGCGGTTTTACGGTTCTTGTGTGTGTTAATGATGAGTTATTTGTGAGCGCAATGTACCGTATATTAGGACATTCGCTGTGACGCTGCTGCTGGCATGGCGTGCTGTGTTTTCTAACCACTATGAAACACTAACGTTCCCTCAGTACCTTTTATAAAAGAAAGTATACTTTAAATTACACAATAACCAGTGTTATGATAAAAAAATGTGTGAAAATAATGAATGTGTGGGCAATAACAAGGCCATGTTAACCTTTATGTGCTCACAGTTAGCAACGTCGACTGAAGAGGCGGCAGCGAGAATGGAACTAGCAGTGGTGCCACGTCTTGCATAATACCACCTAATATACACCTCCTTACCTTATGTTTTTGTAACGGTATCCCACCATTCTAACATTGAACTAATTGTAATTATTAGGTGAACTGATATACAAGAGCATTCAAGAGGTTTATTGTGTATTAATCGTACGAGATGGGCGGTAGTGGCATGGCGAAGGTTGTACACAGCTGTACCAACGTTATTGATGCGTCATTGTCTACTACATGAGTGACGCAACACGTGCACATGCACGTCAGCGTCTACTACATGAGTGACGCAATACGTATCTGTGCCTAAAATGAGTTGCCAACGACTTGAATTATCCCTGCAGTTCCCAAAATAGTGAAAGTGAAAGTCTTGAATAGGAGTTATGCTTGATGTTTAGAACACACCTCACCTTTTCTCATTATCTATCTTCCTATATCTCATTATCTAGTTCCTATATTTATATTTATATATAAATAAGAGGGAGAATGTGTTTAAAGGGTTGAGGGGAGGGAGAGGCTATAGTCTCCCCCAAAATTTTTGGAGATATGTGATTGTATGGTGAGTGTCAAAGGATGATTGAGGTCGAGCTCATGTCCTTCTTTAAGTGTGATTGGCTTCTGTTGCGACAACAAACGACATTCAAACATGTTTTGCCCAATGAGGGAAAGGGAAAAAATGAGAGAGGGCGGGAGATTGGAGTTGAATGAAAATGTGAACAAGTTTTGATGACCTGTTTATTAGGTGTATCATTGTTCCCCTACTGAAGGAGAGGCTCATCAGTGCTCTCCTACTGAAGGGAGGCAGATGGTGTTGTTGATACTCGCGTGCATGTCCACAGGTAGTTATTGAATCATAACCATAAATAATAGTATTTAGACAAAAGGATGATTGATAATGAGGAATCTTTTTGAACATATGAGCGGGTCGGATGTCCAAGAAATGTTACACAAGAGACAGAGGGACATAATGAATTCAGGAATTGAACCCCCAAATTCATTTAGCTAAGCAAGAAACAATCTTGATAAGCTAGTTACACAGTTTAATGTGTGTCAATAGTCGTTTATAGAACAATTGGTTGGCGAACTGGACCATAATAGTCTCACACTCGAGTAATTTACATCTGTGGTGAGCCAGTTACAAAGTTACTAGTCATGTACCCCACTGTTTTATAATCGCGTTCATGCACCACCTACAATAACCACACTCTGGATATTTGGCTAAGATTTCTGCTAGTACATCATTTTGAACAATATCCACATTTCTTGAACAATTGTAATAGGTTATATCTAAATTCTAAAGTTTGTTCACATTCAATTACATAGTGCCGTAAGGTATAATGAAAGTGAATAGTTCTGCTGACAGGAGTTTACAATTGGTGACATCTTCTACTTTAGGAGATGACAGGTCCCAGAGGTACTTGTAGCCGAGCCTAAGACTATGCTGTGTTAATTCCTAGAAGTCTGCTGACCTTATCGGATGACCCTTAGATATGTGGCTCTTCCTGCATAATAATATAATAACCGACGGAATAACTATTGTAAATTTCACTTTGTTTTAGGTCTACTATATTTGTTTGCAGTTCCCGGGATATTACTGCCCACAGGCCGTTCAAATGCATTTCAAGAGGGTAATTAACTCTTAAAGAACACATGCTTTGGCTAACTCATGAGTTCTACCGTGCATTCGGAGGCCAATATGGTATGAGATCCATATGATAGGAGACAAACTCTGACTCCAACATTGATTATTTCATTGTATGTATGGCCTTGTTTGAGATACAAGCACGTCACAGTTATGTTTTTAGGAGTTGAGTGTCAACTTTGGATACATGATCGCTTGAGTGTTTAAAAAATGGCAAACAATTGGTGGAAGAGTGGCGCCCCTGTTAATCAAGCTTCCCAGTTAGAATGATTGTCATCTCTGGTTTTCACAACAACTGCTCTTCCAGCACAATGACTGACCTTCCCCAGGATGCAACCCGCAACAGTTACTTAACTTCCGGGTAACTATATTGCTGCTTGGTAAGCAAAGGAATCAGTTATAAGGAAAACATACCCAAACGCCTCCGTTCTGCATGGGAAACGATTCCAGCGGGCGTGAACAATATGAACAGACAACTGCGCTACCGGGCCAGTACGCAGGCATAGATTTCTTGCAACTGCAACAATTTTGCATATAGAGCAGGAAACATTGATTGATGAAGATTAAGCCATCCAAGAGGTGGCACGGGCATGAATAGCCCGTAAAACAGGAAACATACTTGCTAGTGAATAACGGCCCGTTCAAGTTAACAATTAGCGACACCGTTAGACCAGCAGCAACGGGTGACAAAATCATAACGGCAGTGGGTGGTGCCATTCACTGCTTGATAGCTACAACCCACCCAGCCACGCCGAGGTGGCTGCTCGTAACCTTGTGAGAGAGGTGAGCTGGTGTACATAACTTCAGTTTTGCTTCGTTGTGGTACTAACTTCCTACTGGGCAACCCCGAGTCTTCCCACGGCCAGGTGTCGCCAACTGGCTTGTGTGGCTGTCTGCGCACGCACGCGCGCGCGCGCGCGCACACACACACACACACACACACACACACACACACACACACACACACACACACACACACACACACACACACACACACACACATCATCTCCCAGGAAGCAGCCCGTTGCAGCTATCTAACTTCCAGGTACCTATTTACTGCTAGGTGAACAGGCGCATCAGGGTGAAATAAACTATGTCCATTTGTTTCCGCCTCCGCCGGGAATTGAACCCGGGCCATTAGGACTTCGATCCCCAGGTGCTATCCACTTAGCCGCGAGGCTCCCAAAACCCACTGTATATTTGTGTGTGTGCATTTCCCACTTAACGGATAAGAATGTAAGGAGCACGAGAAATTGGTCGGGAGCACGGGAAATGGGGGAAGTGGGCAACCTAAGTCGGAATGTTTTGTACGTGATTGGAGGGGGTAAGCACAGTGACTGCATTAGGAGGGGTGGGATAGGAAGGCAGGCAGGTGGTAATATATGGGAGAGGTGGAACTTGCAGAGGAGCTGTCATCTCCACACTTACCCCCAACATGTGTACATGACGAGGTTGAACTGCAGGTGTTCTGATAATGCAACAGGTGATTTAGTGGCTGGTGATGATGTAGAGCAGTGTCATATGTGGTCTGTATCCTGAAGGTAGGGAATTTTGGCTTGCTTACTGTGGAGCAATGGAAAACTCATCTGACTCTTGAACTTGGAAATGCCAACAGTTTAAAGCCTATTGATACCAAAGCGAAAGAGTGATATGGATAATTTGTTTACCAATCTTCAGCGTTTCCAGATTTTATAGTGAATTTTTAAGATAAAAAATCGAATAATACGGCAAGGATTGAACGCCACTATGAAATGTTGCAGGAAATCATAATACCTATAGCGAGCAAGCCAAGGAACCTGCGCGCGCAGTAGCAGGTGTTATAACTAAGCTAAGCGAACCTCGTCAACAACGGACTACAATAACACAATCCAGGTGGTCGAGGCCTATTACGATGTTGGCTAAGATCCGTGGGGTGACGGACACTCTACAAAGCCACGCTCTGGAGCTGGCCGACGCTTATATCAACAAAGATGAAACAGGTAATGTAAACTGTCACTGATAGGTTAGGTGTTCTCCCTCTTGAGTCACTGATGGGCTGGGTGTTCTCTCTTGAGTCACTGATGGGCTGGGTGTTCTCTCTTGAGTCACTGATGGGCTGGGTGTTCTCTCTT